AAAATGATATTAACAATAATTGAATTCGTGATCTTTGACTACAAGAATCAAGTTTTTTATACTCAATCATGCACCTCTTTTAGGGTTAATTTGTATTTTTTGGACGGCAAGAAAAATCTATAGTTACTATTTGAGTGTGTGCATTTGATAGATCTCATTCTTGTATAATAACTCATGCATAAATCATACAGAAAAAAATAAATCACACTAAAAAGATTTTATATAAATGGTTCGGAGGGTAATTTTGGAAAGTGGAGAAGTAAAGTTGAATGGCAATTGACACACAAAAGGGATAGAATGAGCAATTTCCCATACATTGATTTGACTTTTAATTAATTTGAGTTTTGTACACTATTTTTTTAAAAAATAAAATTATTTTTAAAATGTATTTGTCCTTTGGATTAGTGCACGAGAGGCTCATATTCTTTGCTTCTCCATCGCCATCAAACGTTGCAATTGACTGAAAAAACATAAAGTTCAATATTGAATTGGAAGCTTCATCCATCAAAACTATGACCATACATTTATACTCACAAATTAAACTTTTATGATACGCAGTATAATATTTTACTATACGATATTGTAAATTAAAAATAAAAAAGTTCATACAAAAAAAAGGACACCGACCTCTCTTTTATCTATTTATTTATAAATTAAAGTCTCATAGTATCTAACATTTAAACGTTATCATATTGATTCATCATGAGAGCATCACCATTATTAGTTGTTTTCATTTTAGGGTTTTGAACAAATTTCTTCCTAGGTGGAGGAGAGATTTTGGGGCAGTCGAGGAGGGGGGGGGGGGGGGGGGGGAAGTAGTGCACATTGTGCTCATCAATATTGTCCGAAAAATACTATGTATATTCTCATTTTCTACTATAACTTTTATTTCACAAATAAAATCTTAATGTAGATACTTTGTATTAGGACCCACATAAAAAAGTAGCTTATTAGTGTCCACCACATCACATTAGGAAGTAAAATTTAGGGACTAATATTGGGAATCCATGTAGTAGAACTCATATTGTCCTGCGGGTGCTAGGGATGGGCCGGATGGCGATGGGATGGAGGTGGCCATATGGGTTATGGATGACTACATCTAACACCCGACCCACATTATACTTTCTACACCACCTCCCACCCCGACCTGCATCGAGTGGACTTTTACAAAATAAAATAATAAAAAAATCGTCCTCGCCCCACTGGATGCGGGTCCGCACTACGAGTATTCACCACTTATTATCTTATTATTTTTTTTTTTAAATAGTATTGAAATTACTTACACATAATAAAATAATAAATTTTAATAGTTATATTAAAACATAAAATAATAGAAGTATTCAAATATAATAACTAAATTTTTTTTTTTTAAAAAAAAAAAACTTATTAGTTTTTTTTTTTTGAAATACCAATGATTCTTTACAAGTAGTATCTATTCTATACTTTATCAAACACAAATGAAGAATTGACCATCCATTTGGAATGGTAACCGGGATGTCATCACACTACATGATAGTTGGCAAAAACTTATTAGTTTAGAACTACAACTAGTAAAAAATTAGCAAAAGCTATAAAAACTTTTATAATTAAGTACATAATATTACCTATTTTATCACACACACATAGTAGGTTGAGTGGGGTTCTGATCTAGGTAAGTTTGTACATAAAACTCAAACTCAACCCCCACGACAAGTTCAATAAATAAATAAATAAATAAAGATCTGCACCAACGAATCCACCACCCACTATCACCCAAAAACTCAATCTATGTTGGGTGTATTTGGATGGACATTCATGAGGTGGATTAAAATTGCACGTCATCCCTAACGAACGCGTGCACTATACGTACTTGATGAAAACGTTGAGTGGTTGTCAGTTGACAACCACTATATTGTCTCTCTATTGTTTCTAACCTGAATAGAGAACAACTCTCTTAATGTAACATGTTTTTATTTACTTCAAATATTTCACAATCAGATTTAGTTCAAACATTTTTCTTTATTCATACTTTAAAGGTACAAATTAGGTATGACACAATTAAGGTAGGTCAATGCTAGCTATGATCATATATATAGATATTATTATATATGTGTGTGCGTGTTACCTGCCAGAGCCATAGACTACTTGCATATTATTATATATATCAATATCAATATCAATATTAATATAAACTTTTACATCCATCCCATCTTCTCCTTATTATTTATTTATTTCGTTTTTGGTACATAATAAAATAATTTATGAATTAGCTAAGGTCACATAAAAATTACACACCAAGACTTATTATATGAGTTTTAAAATAACTACTGCATTTAAAAAATTCAAATTCAAGACAAGAAGAGACACATAATATTGCATCTACTATACACCATCATAAATTCCAACGGCAAACTCTTTAATTCAATAATCAATAAAACAACGTCATGTTAAAGTAAGAATATTTGAAACATTTATTTGAGATAAATATAATATGTGCATGCAGAATAGAAATGGATCTTTTATGACATCAATTGGCACTAGTGTCAATAATATTTGGTACAACTCTTTAATTTATGGAAAAACGTCTACAACCGCAAACTGAAGATAGATGCATTCTAGCTAGGTGAAACCGCCTTGTAACTCTAGATAGCAAAGGACCGCAAAAGAGGTAAACCAATTTAGATTGATCATAATTAATCGAATTAAATCAATAAGGCTAATAGATAACTTCCACCGGAAATCAAACCTGGAACATTGTAGTTACCAAGCTAATAGTTGTGTATAACTCTTTATAGTATACTTGCTTATATTAGATCCAATATGCAATAATATACATAACTATTGTTAGGATCAAGCGCTTACCACTACACCAAATGTCATATATAGCTCGTAGGACACAATTTCTTTATACTGCCACACAGTTTTGAGAGTTAAAATATTGGACTTGACATTTTACCGACATCGGTCCAATAATTCACTAGCTACATAATGCTGGACTTGATTCTAACTAACCCCGCCCAACAATTATATTCATTATTATCAACATACACCGTTTGATCTAATAAAGAATATTCGGTGGCATGCCATGTAAGTACATTATATTGATTGAGAGAAGAGGCACCGACGTTAAACTAAACAACATAAATAATTTTACAAAATTCAACTCCAAAAACAATACTATAGAATTACGAAAGCAGCGCATGATTGCTTGCTCGGATCTTGCCATGAGTTGACGCTTCCATTTGCTGCAAATTAAGAATAAAAAACATGTCAGTATGTCACTTTCCTCTCCAAATTGACTTACGTTAATTGGAATATAAATAAATAAATAAATAAATAAATAAAGATGTTTTTGCTTTTCAACGTTCGAAACGACAATGGACACTTTCTAATTATATATGTGTGATGATGATTAATGCCCTCACTTGATCGAGCCCTTTGCGCTTGTTCAGGTCAACTTTTACTTACATTCACAATATATACTCTATATAAAATAATTAATAAATACACTACTGGAAATTATGAAATTTCCGACCACCTGAAAGTGATCTTAAATCAAGTTGATACCAAAAAGTGGTCGGAAATAGCAACAAAGGTTTTTCTCGATACTAAAAGTGGTCGGAACAAGGCTTTCGACTTGATTTAAGATCATTTTCGGGTGGTCGAAAATTCCATAATTTCCAGTAGTGATAAATAAATAAATAAATGTACATTTTCACCTAAACTATAATAGTATGGAGTTTAATATTCTCAACCTAACATGACAATTATAGAAGTCGAATGCAATAAATAATTTTTTTTAATACTATTGACTTTATTACAAAAAAATTTTCTTTTGAAACAATATCAAACACATAATTAAAATATCAAAAAAAAAAAATAAATCAAACAGATAAATTTTTTTTCTTCAACAAACTCCAATTAAATGAAAATGGCCTTAAACTCTTAAAGGGTTGGGCCATTGGAATAGGCCTACAAGTAAACATTCGGTTACCCAACATAGCAAACCAATATCAAACCCATAAACAATTTCATCAACATTTAATTTGGTCTTTAACTTGGCCCAAGATTTTACAATTAAGTGAAAATGGCTACTTGAGCTTGTTATACTTTGCCCTATACTACACAACAAACATATTCCATCCAATAATGTTAAGTGAGTCGTGTCAACACAATTATAGGTTGCTGTATGCTAACAATTTAAGATAGGACAAATTATTGTGTGGATCGTGGTCTACACAGTACGGTTCAAAACAGCGTCGTTTTGATGTCAAATAAAATTTCATTGTTCCATACGCGTATTATAATAATGAATATCTAGGGATAAGATAATATATTTTATGAGTTAGAATAATGTACTTTATGTGTTAGAATAATGAAATTTCTGGGATAAGATAATGTATTTTATGAGTCAGAGTAATGTATAATGTACTTTATATGTTTGAATAATGAAATTTCTAGATTAAGATAATAAATTTTATGATTAGAATAATATACTTTATGTTTTAAAATAATATATTTTAGGAATTAGATATATACTTTGTGTGAAATGTTTATTAACCTTCATGCATGCGTCGGGTGAGCAATACGCAAACTAGATTAATTTGGTGCAAGAGCGCTCGATTAGTGAGCTATTAAGCACTGTTTCAAAGGTGGTTGCTTCTATGCGCACTAATCAATCATTTAATTAGGGTCTTTAGTTGGTGATTCGGGTTGTTTCTCTCTTGACAATGAATTGAGCTTATCTCCGATCCCACAGCACGGTCTCACAACCTTGATTCTTGTGATTTTGGATTCATATCTAGTATTTAGAGTTTGCCTGAATTTGGTATCACTCTTGCAGCCTACACCGACACAATGTTTTATTCCTAGATGTCTAATAAAACAACACATTTCAGGTTATAATTATCCGTTAAGATCACAAAAACCAGCTTTACCTAGATCACACATTCAAATTGAATATGCGCTCCAAGTACGTTTTGCCCTTAGTAAGATTTTTGCATGTTTGGACCACACATATATAGTGCAAAAATAATTACTCCATATAAACAAAAGAACCCAAAATTAAATACACACTGCACGGTACCCTCAATCCTGGCTTTATTACATGGCATCAAATTTCTCAATAACACACATAAAATCCTCACCTTTATTCATACACACACACACACACACACACACACACACATATATATATATATATATATATATATATATATATATATATATATATATATATATATATATATATATATATATATATATATATATATCTGCAGTCTTAATCTCATCAAACCCTGCAGGTAATATTCAAGATTCAAGCGGTCACCATCGATCAGTTCTTGAATCGATCAATAATTGCTTTTACCTTCCCCCACGTTGGACGTGGCCCGGATACTGAGCCTGGCACGGTGGATGTAATTAGAAACCTTGTCGTTGAAGCTATCCCTCCGCACCGCCGTCGCCTTCCGCTCATTTCCGCCGCCTTCGCCGCCGCCGCCTGCATGCGTCAGGCTTCTGCTGATCCGAGCCCTCACGCGAGTAATGTAATCCGAGAAGTGCGCTTCGTGATGGTGATGATGATGGTGATCCTCATCCAAGGCCAAACTCACCCTCTTTTCTTTAACCGGCGGGCGATTTTTCGCCGCGGCGGCGGCGGTGTCGACTTGGCCGTGGTTGAACACCACCGGAATCTCCGGCGGCGCGGCTGAGCTCCGCGGCGGAGGAGGAGAACCACGGCGGTGGGATTTGAAAGCCGAGCCGCCGCAATTAACAGCTCTGTAAAGCCTCGCACACACTCCCCCCTCTGAGGATGACTGGTTCTTCGCCATTAAAGATGGAGGGCTTTCTTGTGATGATGACTGGGAAAGGAGAGGAGAGACAGCAGGGAGATTTAATACGAGGAGATTAATGATTGTTTATTAGGAGCTTTAATTTAACTAGGTTTTGGTCGTGTGAAAAAGATATTTGCATATTTCCACACGTTATTCCTAATGGGAGATTAAGAAAGTGTTTCTTCTTAATCTTTGTCCGAGACAAGCTGTAAAAATGGCTTTAGGATCGCATTCGCCACTTTCGTCAACTTCCTTTTTGAAAAAGATCGACCATATAGCTTGCAAGGATTGCTGATTGGCTGCATATCATTTGGCCGGGGACTTGACTTAAACTGCGCGTTATCCAATAGCTTATTATCATCATTACATTTCCGATTTGAAACCCTTAATTATAGATAGCCAGATTAGTTTACCTCCGGTGATTCTTTATAATTTGTCAATAAGGTTACAAGCTATATATGTAAGTTTACTAAAAACACATTTTCGGGTAGCGATCGATAACAAGCTATATATGTGAGTTTACTAAGAACACATCCTCAGGTACAAAAGTGAGGAGAAATATGAGCTTCGGTTTGTCCATATCAATGGCTCTAAAAAAAAGCACTTTTAATATACACGACAACATCTTTCCCAATAAATCATCACTGATGTAATGTTTTTGCATTCTGTTCAAATCAATGAAGATTGAAGGCACAAAATTATCTCTTAGAACGCACAACAGTGTACACTGGAAAGCACAACGTACAATGTGCTTTAGAATGCTGAATAATGTGCACTCCAAGGCAAAACAATATGCACTTTGGAGGTATAGCAATGTGCTCTGGAATGCTCAACAATGTGCTCTGGAAGGCACAAAATGTTTAATTTATTAGTCTTCATAGGATTATTGAAGCCATTTCTTGCACGCGTTGCCTTCCCTCTTTCACGAGACTTAGTAACAAGTCTGTTGAGCTTGTTAAACCATCATGTTAACAATGTGTACTATAAGTCACAACAATGTACACTCGAAGGCAAAAATAATGCACCCAAAGACAAAAGAATATGCACTTAGCAACGAGTCTGTTGAACCGGCCTGTTAAAAACGTGCCTTGGAAAGCACAACAATGTGCACTACAAGGCACAACGTACAATGTGCATCCAAAGGTAAAAACTAATGCACTTAAAGACCAAAAATATGCACTTATGTACAAAAATTACCAAATTATTACTACACATTTTTAAATGTCCTCTTTATTTTGAACACTTGATCTAAATTTAATCAATAGATGAGATTTAATCTTATTTTTTTACTTGGGATCCCTTCACATATGATCCGTATATATACCCTTATAGGTTGGGGATATGAGTTTAGGGTGAGAGCTAGGTTCGAGAGAGTGGGCTAACTATAGAATACAAAGGGTTGATTCTTGCGCTAACTCAACCCTTTGTGGTGCGCTAATCGATAACGATTAGATATTTTGTGATTTTTGCAATGTAGGATGGTTCTTGCTTGTCACATGTTTTGTCAAAAAATGTGCCCCATATGTTTGAAAATTTGGAAATGTTCTCGTCCAATGGCAGTGAATACGTATATTATATTGCGTAATATGCCAAATGATGATCACCAAAAAGGGTAGTGGGTATTAGATTCCTACAAGGGTGTCTCACAAAGTCTTAAAGTTCACGAATATGAATATGGATAATCCTTAGTTGGAGATATCTCTTGCTGTTCCATCTTATGATCCTACTGTTAATGATGCCCAACCAGAAGTCTGGTCCAAAACCATTATACTTTCATTTACATCAAAGTTTGTCATTGTTATTTAAATGCATGCTACACAATCATTGGAAAAATTAAATTTCACTTTTAGTCTCACCTCTGTATTAATTATTGACACACATTCATTATCCGTTTTGAACGTACAATATATATATTTCTTTGTCTCACTACAAATAGTGTGAGTCCAATCTGATCCGACCCAAACTAAAAGTAGATCCACATATATTTATTCTACAAAATAGTCACTTAAATGTCATTTTATGCTAAAATGTCAACAATTACTATAACTTTTCGGTATTCAATAGTCATATTACTTTAATTTCTAATAGAGTCGAATCTCACATTGGTTCACAAAATTTGCACTTAATATTCTTCCAGTCGTTATACCGTGTGTCCCGCTCCTCCCAAAACGACGCCGTTTTGTTAAGTTGTGTGGGGAGTTGACGCGATAGAGTGTATGCGTATTCTGTTATATAATTATGTACATTTTTTTATACAATTATGTACATCCGAAACAGAGAATTTATGTGTATTATATTAAGGGGAGTGTATTCAATCATGACTTTTGTAGAGTTTTAAAGACTTTTAAAATGATAAATTTTAATAAACTTTGATTGACTTTCATAGAGTTGTTCAAAACTTTTAAAAACTTTATAAGACTCTATACAAGTTTATATAAAAGACATTCATAGACTTTTATCAACTTTTTATTTTAAAAAGTCTACAAAAGTCATTGAAATTCTAAATTGAATACATCCTTACAAACTTTCAATGATTTTGATTCTTATCATTTATATAATTTTCTTACAAAACATTTATAATTTATAATATATTATAAAACTCTTATCAACATTCTCAACATTATTATTTTTATCCATGCTGAGTCTTATATGCTAATTACTTATTCTTCAAAAAAAATGCTAATTACTTATATAATATTATTAATAAACATCAACAAAAAAAAATTATTTCATTAAAAATTCATAACAATATTGAACAATAAAATTTATAATAAAAGAATTGATCAAATAAAATATTTAAAAATATAATTACAAGTTACATAAAATAAAAAAATAAAAATATAATATTAATAATATATATATATATATATATATATATATATATATATATATATATATATATATATATATATATATAATTATACTTGATATATTGCTAGGCATCGTGCAAAGAACTATTATTTGCAATAGTAATTTGAGACTGCGAATAACAAGGTGCTATTGTTTGCAACCCCAAATTGTTGTTGCGAATAGTAATTCACTATTCGTAGTAACCTGTTGTGTGTGTGTGTGTGTATGTGTGTGTGTGTGTGTGTGTGTGTGTATATATATATATATATATATATATATATATATATATATATATATATATATATAAAAGTATTTATATGAATATTATGAAACATATACTAAAATTTGACGATGAAAAAAATTAGAGAAAGTTAAGGATAAAAAAATTCATAGAAAAAATAAAAATAAATATAAACAAGCAATAATAATGAAATAAAAATAATATTATTTCGAATTTTTAGATGAAGATTGTAAAGTTGGGGAGAGAGAGAAAAATTGGTAGAGTTTAGGTATGAGGAAAATATAGGATAATGAAGAAAAAAATAATTTTATTGAATTTAGATAGGTTTATAAAGTTTAAATATGGAGAAAAAATAGAGTTTAAATAGAGAGAGAAAACATTCAAAGTTGTTAGAAAGAAAATTTTAAAATCTTGGGGTTGATGGTTGGATTTCAACTATTTATATTTGACAAGGAAAAGTCTTCAAAAGTCTTAAAATTAAAAATTCTACAAAAGTTCATAACTTTTTGAATACCACATGACTTTTAAAGACTCTTTAAAAGTCTTAATCAAATACCACACGAGTTTTAAAGATTCTTTAAAAATCTTGATTGAATACCACATAACTTTTAAAGACTCTTTAAAAGTTTGAATTGAATACCTCTAAACTTTTAAAGTTCATAAAAGTCTTTAAAACTCTATGAAAGTCATGATTGAATACACCCCCCTAAGAGTTTATGTGTATTATGTATTATGTTAGATTATGTGTATTATCTTCCCAAAAAGGAGTATGCGTATTTTGTTATACAATTATGTACATTTTCAAAAAATGAACTTTTTTTTTTTAAAGAAGTTAACAGTCGACACACAAAAAACATAATTTCCAAAAAGAAAAAAAAAATACAAATCGACGTCGTTTTGTACTAAAGCGCACAATGCAGTGTGTGCCCTGGTGCACGATATAAATCGTCATATTCTTCTCATTTTGTTTCTTTTGAATGTGGGCCGCTTCCTGTAATCCTTATTCAGTGCTGCTTCATAGGGCCCATATAAACATAGCCTAGCCCACTAAATATTTTATGTGTGTGTATGTGTTTTTTTTTTTAATAACTGAGGGAACACCCAAAACTAGGAATCTAGCACTCAGTGTTAGTGCTCTATTTTGTTATTTGAAATGTGTTTGGAATATTAAAACCTAGTTACTTTACTTAGATGGAAATTGCGTTGAAGCTAATATTGTCAAAATGATTTAAGTTTGTCTTGTCATACTCCATTATTATTATATTATAAAGACAAATTGAGTTAACAATTTAGAGACTCTAACTTATGTCTTATTATAGGGGTGGATTTTAAGTTTGAGATTTCATTTCGTCTAATCTCACTAACAATTGACAGTACTAGTTGAAGTTATTATACATAAATTACATATAATCAAAGTCCTATTGAATTTGAAATGGTAAAAGTTAAAAACCTTATTTTATTTAAATTTGGATTTTGAAGTTTGAAATGAGTTTGGCTAAGGTCTATAGTTGAGCTGAATCTCGACTCAAATAGATAGCTACCAAAAATTACAGAAGGTTTATAAGAGAGGCTCTTAAGTGGTTGAAGCATAAAGGTACTGTAGCTCTTCAAGTGGAGTCTAATACCCAACTGGTTATTTAGGATCTACAGAGTATGAATTACATTTTGTATTTTGATCTTGTTCTTGATGATATTCATGAACTAGCTAATATTTTTCCGAACATTAGTTTTATGTATGTTCAGAGATCTGCGAATTCGGTAGTCCACCTGTTGGCTCGGAATACCGTGTTCAATGTTGGTTGTAGGAAGTGTGTTTCTTCCCAGTTCATGTTATGTAGTATTTCATTATTTTTTTTTAAAGAGAAATATTTTACATAAAAAATTTTAAAATATTGATTAGTATTGGTATAAAAAATTCTTAATACATAATAGATTAGATGTATAATTGTATTAGATATTATTGAAAATTATTATCAATATTATCAATAATATTGCAATTACTGAATTACGTATGATACTAGGTATTGTTTTTTTATTTTTTTGAAACAAGGTATTGTTTTTTTCTAACTTAAGTATATATTGTAAATATATCATTAAAATAAAT